TTTTAGCATTTAGCTTATAGCTACCATTCTGCTACTTTTAGCATTTAACTTATAGCTACCATTCTGCTAATTTTAGCATTTAGCTTATAGCTACCATTCTGCTACTTTTAGCATTTAGCTTGTAGCTACCATTCTGCTAGTCTTATGCATAGCTTTGCTTCTTTTTGCTTTTTATCACTTTCTGAATCATTAAACTTTGAGCTACCATTCAACTTTTCGTTATTGGCTACTGCTTTGCTTTTATTTTAGCTTGTAGCTAGCATTTGTGCCTTTTTAGCTGCAGTTGTACTTATTTTAACTAATTTGCTTACTTTAGCTTTAGCATCTGTTTTGTACTTAGTTGTTCTAATGCTACTACAATAAACAAATACCAGATTGTAAGCAAAAAATAGATATTTTATTTCATGAGTATGCTTTGCAATGCATAGCATTACGGTCAGACCTGGTAGGCCCAAACGTATTGTGAGGGTTTGCTGGGAACGTCTGGCAGAGTCTCCTGTGAGACGGAGTTTCAACTCCCACCTCCGGGAGAACTTTGAACATGTTCCAAGGGAGGTGGGGGACATTGAGTCTGAGTGGACCATGTTTCGTGCCTCTATTGTCGAGGCGGCTTACCAGAGCTGCGGCCGCAAGGTTGTCGGTGCCTGTCGGGGCGGCAACCCTCGAACCCGATGGTGGACACCGTCGGTGAGGGATGCTGTCAGGCTGAAGAAGGAGTCCTATCGGGCCTTTTTGGCCTGTGGGACCCTGGAAGCAGCTGATGGGTACCGGCAGTCCAAGCGACATGCGGCTCGGGTGGTTGCTGAGGCAAAAACTCGGGCATGGGAGGAGTTTGGAGAGGCCATGGAGAACGACTTCCGCACGGCTTCGAGACGTTTCTGGTCCACCATCCGGCGTCTCAGTGGGGGGAAGCGGTATGCCACCAACACTGTTTATAGTGGGGGTGGTTTGCTGCTGACCTCAACTCGGGATGTTGTGGGTCGGTGGGCGGAATACTTTGAAGACCTCCTCAATCCCACCGGCACGTCTTCCACTGAGGAAGCGGAGCCTGGGGACTCTGGGTCGGGCCCTCCAATCTCTGGTGCTGAGGTCACCGAGGTGGTTAAAAAGCTCCTCGGTGGCAGGGCCCCGGGGGTGGATGAGATCCGCCCAGAGTTCCTTAAGGCTCTGGATGTTGTAGGGTTGTGTTGGCTTACGCGACTCTGCGATGTTGCGTGGACATCGGGGGAAGTTCCCCTGGATTGGCAGACCGGGGTGGTGGTCCCCCTATTCAAAAAGGGGGACCGTAGAGTGTGTTCCAACTACAGGGGAATCACGCTCTTAAGCCTCCCTGGTAAGGTCTATTCGGGGGTTCTGGAGAGGAGGGTCCGTCGGATAGTCGAACCTCGGATTCAGGAGGAACAGTGCGGTTTTCGTCCTGGCCGTGGAACACTAGACCAGCTCTACACTCTCAGCAGGGTCCTGGAGGGTGCGTGGGAGTTTGCCCAACCAGTCTACATGTGCTTTGTGGACTTGGAGAAGGCTTTCGACCGCGTCCCTCGGGGGGCCCTGTGGGGGGTACTCTGGGAGTATGGGGTACCAGGCCCTTTGATACGGGCTGTTAGGTCCCTGTATGACCGGTGTCAGAGCCTGGTCCGCATCGCCGGCAGTAAGTCAGGCTTGTTCCCGGTGAGAGTTGGACTCCGCCAAGGTTGCCCTTTGTCACCGATTCTGTTCATAACTTTTATGGACAGAATTTCTAGGCGCAGCCAAGGTGTTGAGGGGATCCGTTTTGGTGGCCTCAGAATTGCGTCTCTGCTTTTTGCAGATGATGTGGTCTTATTGGCTTCATCAGATCGTGATCTACAGCTTTCGCTGGAGCGGTTCGCAGCCGAATGCGATGCGGCCGGGATGAAGATCAGTTCCTCCAAATCCGAGGCCATGGTCTTGAGCCGGAAAAGGGTAGAGTGCCCTCTCTGGGTCAGGGAGGAGGTCCTACCCCAAGTGGAGGAGTTCAAGTATCTTGGGGTCTTGTTCACGAATGAGGGAAAAATGGAGCGTGAGATCGATAGGCGGATAGGTGCAGCGTCTGCAGTGAAGCGGGCGCTGTACAGGTCTGTCGTGGTGAAGAGAGAGCTGAGTCAAAAGGCGAAGCTCTCAATTTACCGATCGATCTACGTTCCCACCCTCATCTATGGTCACGAGCTTTGGGTTGTGACCGAAAGAATGAGATCTCGGATACAAGCGGCCGAAATGAGTTTTCTCCGCAGGGTGTCTGGGCTCTCCCTTAGAGACAGGGTGAGAAGCTCGATCATCCGGGAGGGACTCGGAGTAGAGCCGCTGCTTCTCCACATCGAGAGGAGCCAGTTGAGGTGGCTTGGGCATCTGTTTAGGATGCCTTCTGGACGCCTCCCTGGTGAGGTGTTCCGGACACGTCCCACCGGAAGGAGGCCCAGGGGAAGACCCAGGACACGCTGGAGGGACTACGTTTCTCGGCTGGCCTGGGAACGCCTCGGGATTCCCCCGGAAGAGCTGGCCCAAGTGGCTGGGGAGAGGGAAGTCTGGGCCTCCCTACTTAGGCTGCTACCCCCGCGACCCGACCCCGGATAAGCGGAAGAAAATGGATGGATGGATGGATGGATGGCTTTGCAATGCTTTTTCTTTATCAGTAGCAGATTTTATTTCATGCTAAGAATGTTGAATTTGATTGATCAAAGGCAACAGACTGATAAAATCCATTTAATTCTTGTTCCATTATTTTTGTCACAGCCTGTATTCAAGTTTGATTGATCAGCCTAATAACACTTAGCAGGACTTTAATGAGAGCCACAGCAATCACTCGAGCTGATCAGAGACTCTGCCTCGCTTCGCCACTGACGCACTTCTTGCATAATGTTTGTCATTTGGGGCGCATGTGTCTGGCCTTCACTGTTTCCAATAACTTAAGATGCTCTAACTGTAAATACTCTCCAGGTCTTTCTTGTGTTTAACAGATTGTGGACTGTTACTTCCTGATGGTGGGTTGGATAATTGTCACTGGTGGGTGTTTAGCACCAATAAAGTTTTGTCGTGTGGGCTTTTTGGTCGTCTGGCACATCAAACCTCAAAGAAACTTTGAAAACTGTCGGGTTACTGGAAAACGGCTAGATCCAAGACATGAGAGGGTGCAACTCTGGATACATACATGCTTGTGTTTGGATAAAAACATAAGTTTATTGTCATTGACAGATCTAACAAAATAACAGCCTCTTCAGCAATGGTATGACAGAGCAGTTGGTTCTGGTCATTACTGATCCTTCAGTGTGAGACTAAACAGGTTTTAGATAATTTCTGAAGTATTCTATTATTTTTGTTAGTGAAACATTGCCTCCCTGTTCTGTTTGGACTGGCTCTGTGCAGCATGACCCTGACCTCTGACCTTTTGGTAGAGTGAATCAAGAAAAAGACAGATTTCCTTGTGATAATAGCTCAGAGGAATTGGGTGCCCAGTGTTTATGAGACTGAACAGAACACCTCTGTGCCTCTATGGGTAGTGACATGTCAGATTTTACAAATTGGTCAAATTTAACTTCTAATTAGATTTCATTACTTCTATATAATAGTATTTAAAACCTGCTTTTATAGATTGTGTGAGAGTAAAAAGGTAATGTAATTGTATATTACCTTTTTAAGTGAACATGGTAACTGAAGATAAATAAAAATACAAGACATTTCTTCTTTAAAAAAACAAACTTTTTTTCATCTTGATAGGTTTTTAGACATATATGAGTTAAATTGCACTTGAAGTTAGACCTGATTGAAATGTTAACTTTTAATTTGACCCACCTCATATGTTCCTAAATCTTGGCCAAACAAATTGTGAAGCAACATATTAATACATTTTTAGTCTTTAAAAAAAAAATATATATATATTTCAATATTTTAGTGTCCAGTTCTGAGTCCAGGGATTTTATACCTTGCATATATTAACTGGTATGATGGAAAATGAATATCTAATAAAAATATCTAGGAAGTTATTTATTAGTTAAGTTAACTTGTATGTGAAAAGCTGAGAAAGCTGAATCATTCCAGTTTAACAGTAACTTATAGCTTGCCTGTTTTCAGATTTGGACATTTATGCCACAAATTCTGGATTATGAAAGCTCTGAAATGTTTTATAGAATTGTGTGAACATTTGAACCGAAGGCTTCAAATAAAACAACTATTTTTGTGTTGTAAACTATTTATTCAGCACAGCAGTGGTTACTTCTTTAAATAATAGAAGTTTACTGCTGATGTTGGCCTCCCCCGATAGATTGTGGTAGCCAGACGCTTCATGTACAAACTATTTCTTTGGGACCACCTGGCACATCATGACAATAAAGATAAAACACTCATCTATCAGACATAGTTTGAGCTGTGTTGAAAGAAGACGGAGTGAACGGAACAAAAATGAGAATAGATCGAAGTGGGTTGGCATTCATCAAAGTTAGATTGAGGATGGAATGCCTTTATGGTTATGTGGAAAGCATCTTGGCCACCTGGAAGCCTGATTAGGTGGAGTTTTAAATGTATAGTCCTTGATCACATGATTTGTAATGCTCAGTGACCCTTTCAGGAGTGGAACAGGACAGAGGAACAAATATATAGTCTGTGTTCTGAAAACAGAGCTGTGAATATTCATATTAGGAGAAAAGGTCAAGAAAAAGTAAATACTGTATTAAGAAAGCATGTAATAGGTTATTTCAGCCATCCTTTATCTTCTGCTTGTTCCAAAACTGAGTTGCGGGGGCAGCATCTTGAGCAGGGAGGTCCAGACATCTCTTTCCACAGCCACCTCTTCCAGCTCTTCTGGGAGGATTCCAAAGCTTTCTCAGGTCAAATGAGAGACGTAGTCTCTCCAGCATGTCCTGGGTCTTCCCTGGGGGTCTCCTACCATTTGGACATGCCCGAAGCACCTCCCTAGGGAAGTGCCCAGGGAGCATCCTTACCAAATGCCCAAACCATCTCAACTGGCTCCTCTTGATGTGGAGGAGCAGTGGTTCTTTTCAAGAGTATCTCCTGATAACTGAACTTCTCATCCTATATTTCGGTCACTACCCAGAGCTCGTGACCATAGGTGAGGGTAGGAATGTAGATCGACCGGTAAACGGAGAGCTTTGCCTTACAGCTCAGCTCTTTCTTCACCACAACTGACCAGTATAGAGTTCACAATACTGCAGATGCTGCACCAATCCATCTGTCAATCTGACGCTCCATTCTTCCCTCACTCATGAACTAAACCCAGAGATACTTGAACTCCTCCACTTGAGGCAGAACCTCACCCTCGACCTGAAGAGAGAAATCCACCCTTTTCTGACTGAGGACCATGGCCTCAGATTTGGAGGTGCTGATTCTCATCCCAGCCGCTTCACACTCAGCTGTGAACCGCTCCAGTAAGAGCTGACGGTCATGGCACGATGACGCCAACAGGACCATATCATCTGCAAAGAGCAGAGATGGACTCCTGAGACCACCAAACTGGACTCCCTCTGTCTCCTGGCTGCACCGAGAAATTCTGTCTGAATCTGTGACAACGGGCAGCCCTGGTGGAGTCCAACTCCCACCCTGAAGGGGTTCGACTTACTACCGGCAGTGCAAAACAAACTCTCGCACCGCTTGTATAGGGGCAGAATAGCCCGTAACACCAGGCCCCAAATCCCATACTCATGGAGCAACAACCCCGCCCCCCCCCCACACACACACACACTGTACCCCGAGGAACACCGTCGAAAGCCTTCTCCAAGTCCACAAAACACATATAGATTGGATGGGCAAACTCCCATGACCCCTAGAGGACCCTAGTGAGGGTAAAGAGCTGATCCAGTGTTCCACGGCCAGGACGGAACCCACATTGTTCCTCCTGGATCTGAGGTTCAACCAATGATTGGACTTGCTTTTCCAGTACCCCTGAATAGACCTTACCAGGGAGGCTAAGGAGAGTGATGTCCCTTTAAATGGAGCACACCCTCCGGTCCTCTTTTATTTAATGTTATTGAATATTTATGTTTAAAGAAAAACTTACCAGTAAATGGCATTTTCTTATTATGAGCAAACTGCAGGTCCATATAAACTCTTTTTAAACCCTAATGAAGTACTTTGCTAGAACTTTTTGTAAAGAGCTTTTTTCTTTAACACACATTTAAATCTATAAAGCCCCCCACCCTCTCACCTACACCGTGCACCCGCTTTGTAACTAATAAACTTTTCCAACGATTCATGGTTAGCATAAAAAAAAAATCTAAAGGTTTTTCTAATGGAATGTGTTTTATGGGTAAGGGTTTGCGTTTAAGTTTCAGAGAGGGTGCTTTGTTGCTTTTTCACCTTATCCTTTACCCCCCACTCCCCCTTTTTCCATCCCCATAAGCCTCACCACTAACCAGCACACACATGTCCCCCTCTTCCTGTCTCCTCCGCTGATTGATCTTTAATAAGCGTCTCCCCCTCTCCTTTACCCTCCCTCCTTCTTTCCATTAGGATGCCAGTAGTTAGTCAGTGGGGGGGGGGGGGGGGAGGGGGGAGTTTTAATGGGTCTACAGAGGAGGTGTGGTTGAGTGTTGTTCATGGGGTTGAGTGAGGAGTGTGCGCATGCTCCTCCGTGATGTTCACATTAGTTTTGTGAAGTTGGTTTCTTCATTTTGGTTACGTTTTTTGATTTATCACATTGACCCAAGAGGATCACCTTTGCTATATTTTTCTTTTGCGTGCGTATATCAAGCACTTACATGTCTATGCTAATTGTTTTGTGCTCCATCCTTGTCCGTCCTCATTTTGTCTGTGAGCTCATGTTGTCCATTCACATGTGGTCCTGATAACTGTATGTGTTTGAATTTTTGTGCTTGAATGTGTGTGTTTATGAGGGGGCGGTCAGTCTCCAGAGTCTCGAGGCAGAATAATGAAAGTAAATGGATCCCAGATGGACTGTTTTTCCTCTTTTCTTTGCGCTCAGTGACGTGAGGAGAGTGACAAGCCTCTAACAGGAAACAGACCAGCACGCTACGACTTTGAACTTTGCCGACAACTTGGAGTTGCAGTCATTTTCTTTCTTCACCCACTGAGCAAGCCCATCTTTGCTCTTAATAACAATAACATTAAGGAACTATGCATCTGTTAGAAGTTCACAAACAAAACTGAGTATGAGAGCTGACAGCAATATGGCTGTCATGCAGGCCGTCTCATTTGAGGCACTGCAGCTTCTCCAGCAGTGAAACAAAAGTCCTTTGTCAACTTCGTTTGAGCTGCTGCGTTTGGGACCTACAGAAGTTTTGCTTATGAGTGTGATGACTTCTTTTGGTGGGATTATAAAGGTTTGAAAGGTTTTTGAACCTGCCAATTTTCACTGAATATTGGGGACAGTCTTCAAGAACAACCAGAACTCTGTTTTTAGGAGCTGATGACTATTTAGATGTGGCCTGTAACTGGTTTATAATGTGCTTTATCAGTAAATAGCTGCACTTTTGTATAGAAAGCTATTGTAATGAGTGGTATTTTTAGCCTGACAGTTCCGCCTACCCTGAAGTCGTTTATTTAAATTAAAAACACGTATGTGTCTCTGCAGGTCCGTGGTGATGCCCATTGCTCAGGAGTTCTCCCCAGACGTCGTTATGGTGTCGGCTGGATTCGATGCTGCTGAGGGAAACCCTGCTCCTCTGGGAGGATACAAAGTCTCTGCCAAATGTAAGCACAGTTCTCAACTTTTGACTGCAAAATTTTAAGTTTAGGTAGCATGAGCTTTCTTTGCTATTTTCTTTTTCAAAGAATACTCAATAGAGGATTTATTGGTGTGAGAGGATGAAACTTGTGTAAATTTTCATTGTTTCTATATAATTTTGGTAACTGATGATAAATGGTTTGATGATCGTCTGTATTTCTGTGTGTGTCTGTGTGCCACAGGTTTTGGCTTCCTGACCCGACAGTTGATGTCTCTTGCTGGAGGTCGTCTAGTTTTGGCCCTGGAGGGAGGTCATGACCTCACAGCTATTTGCGATGCATCCGAGGCATGTGTCAGTGCACTTCTAGGCATACAGGTAATCATTGTTTTTTTCTTTTAATGATTTTGCGATTGTCACTTTTCCCAGCAGAAGCATCTATATTCAGGTGCTGGAAAAAAAAATCTGACACTGAGTGAAGACTTTTTTTCACAATATTTATCTTTTACAACTAAATATCATAAATGGTTATGCATTAAATGAAAATCAATCAGCTATAGAAAGAAATGTGCACTCTACAGATTTAAGAAATTTGCTTTTTTCTTGGTTGTGTATGTCTTGTAGGATCAAATGCCAGAAGATGTTCTGCTCCAAAAACCAAATGCAAACGCAGTCCACTCCCTGCAGACGGTCATACAGATACAAAGTGAGCAGCGGTTATTCTTCTTTAACTCCATCCGCTCTGTTATCTTTGCCTTTTTCTTGCACTTGTTAAAACCCATCACGTGTAGCGTACACTCAAAAATGTTTACATTTTACGTCACATTTGCATTTCATTGTTGATAATGTTTGTGTCATAGGTCAGTACTGGCAGAATGTAAAGAACTACAGTGGAACAGTAGGACTTGCATACCTAACTGCTCAGAGTAAAGACTGCGAGGAAACGGATGCTGTGAACGCGTTGGCCTCACTGTCTGTGGGAGTCATGTCCAACGAGAGGTACCGCACTCGCATTCATCAACACTAAAGCTGGTATTTCATTGGACTACAAGTGGCTGGAGGACAGTGTTCATGACGGTGTCTCTTGGGGTCCGAAATGGGGTAGAGGCAGGGCAGCCGATTCAGGACCCGAAAGTCCCAGGTCGATCCCCAGCCATTCCCGCATGTTGTGGTGTCTCTGAGCAAGACACCTAATCCCTAACTGCTCCCCGGGTGCTTACATAGCTGTAATGGGTTAAATGCAGAGAACCAATTTTGCCATTGTATGGGAACATACAATGATGACAACACATAGCACTTTACTTTAGAGTGCCTTGTGACTTTTGCTGGGATCTCAACTTCCTTGTGCGAGTTGCAACATAGTTCAGTGTGGGGTTTCTGTCTCGTTTGTTTTCCTGCACTCTCCTGTGATTTTCCTCCTTGTGTCAGCTCCTGTCTCACCTGTGTCCAATTGTTGACACCCCAGGTGTTTCTCATTCTGTCTCGTCAGTGTCCTGCATAAAGTCTCTTTCCACTCCTTCTTTGTCTCCTCCTTTGACGGCTGTGGCCGAGTGGTTAGAGCAGTCGTCCTCCAATGCAAGAGTTGGGGGTTCAATTCCACAGCAGTCACATGCCGAAGTATGCCTGGGCAAGACACTGAACCCCTCATTGTCTCTGGTGTGCGTCCCATCGGTGTATGAATGTGATAAAGCATTGATTATTCTTTGTACAGATATAGTAAAGTGCTGTATGACTGGGTAAAAGAGGGCACAGATTATAGTGTAAAGCGCTTTGAGTATTTTGACAAGACAGAAAAGTGTTCTATAAGTGCATTCCATTTACCATTTTAATGGTGTTGAACCCGCATGCAGGCTGATGACAGGAGACTCCAATGTAAAAGTTAATTAAATTTATTTAACAAAACAAAAACGGAGCTGACTGGGCAGCCAAAAACTTACTTTGAGGAGAAGACAGGGGAGCAGAACATGTAGCCATGGAAGGATAATGCCCGGACAAAGGAGGAGTGAAAAGACGGACTTTATACAGGACACTGACAAGACCGAATGAGAAACACCTGAGGTGACAACAATTATACACAGGTGATGCAGGAGCTGACGGAAGGAGGTAAAACACAGTAGAGTGCAGGAGAACAAACGGGACAGAAACCCCACACTCAGTGGTCACAAAGACTCAAAAGTTCAGTGCAGCTGCGGTTAAAAATTCACAAATTTCCTTGTGTGTGTTAAGTGAGAATTATTATTTTTACCATTTGGGCTCCTAACAGGCAAACCTAAATACAGACACAGTCAAACGATTTTGTAACACCATCTATGTTTGTCTTTATCTCCTTCAGCATCCCTGATGAGCCGATGGATGATGACAGTGACTCAATGTAGCCAGCCACTCACCTCAACAATCTCACATTCGAGAAGTTTCCTCCACCAGCCTTGGACCTCCTGTACTGTTGCAGAAACACGAAGGGAACATTTTTGCAACGCCACGGAGCCTCACCTGTTGGCCTTATTCAAACAAGCACCAGCTGACACGAAATGCAGGACCTGCAATTCTGAGCACCTCAGTTCCGGTAACCACTTGGCTGAACCCAGCATCACTACCTGCAACTGAGAAACCTTCAGAAACCTCACCAAAGAGCAACATACAAGCTTATTTGAAATAACTTTTCATGGCTCCTGAGTGACATCTGAATGCATCTGTGTAACTCCACGTGTGTTGCAGTTTTCCAGTGTGGCAGCCTTGTGAGCTAAAACCTTTTGAGAACAGACAAAACTCTTGATTCTTTCCATGTACCAGCCACTGATTTGTTGCCTTAACTTTGCTTTATCGTAAAGACCAACGTCGTCTTTTGGGGGGATTTTCTATGCCTCTGCAACGACTCTGACCAAACAAGATGCAAAACTAATTTACCGTGTGACATCTGGTGAAAGAAAACTCACATTGATTAAAATGCAATGATGTCACCAAGTGGAAGTGGCCATATTATTTAACAAAAACGCTCAAAACCAAGATATTGTCTGTTTTGATGGGATTGAACCACTAGAAGACGACAAAGAACTTGAGGAAAATTGAGGAAATGACACAAAATGGACAACTGGTTTTGTACAACAAATTGTTTTTCTTTTTTGTTGCACTGTTCATTCCATAATGTGAACCATAAGAAATTCCAAAGCTCTGGGATAAGACAATTCCTCTTTGTCAAATATTTAATAGTCTTTTATGAAGAGCTGGATAAAATAGTGTTTATTTTTTTCCCCATTTTCTTCCGAGACGTATGACTCACTTTTTACATATAGGCCGAAACACTGTAGTGGTTTTACCTGCAAATTTGCAAATTACACCTGAAAAGTAGGCATGGTTTTAAGGTCAACTTTAATTTTTTGTTGCTGTCAGTGTCTTATTTTGGCCTTCATTCCCATAAAAACCTACTTACACATGTACAAAGCAATCCTCAACTTAATTGTACCACTAGTATTGCAAGTTGTACATAGATGTTTCTTTTTGAAGACTAAAGGAGTGATCATTCCACCCTGACACCACTGAGGACCGCTGTAATGTTTCGTATTAGCAATACTGTTATTGCACTTAATGGACATCACCCAAAGAAAATCAGCCTTAAAGCTTCCTGTTCTTGGAAAGTGGAATTTATGGAATTGAGACAAGAACAGGTCTGAACACCCTTCTTTTTAAAAAGACAGTGTTTAAATAATCCATTCATATTCTTAACTTGCTTTCACTATCTGGGTCACAGGGAGCTGGTGCCTATCTCTAGCACTGTCCAAGAGGCAGGGTACATGGACAAGTCACAAGTGCATCACAGAGACATATGGTGACGAATGAGACAACCATGCACTCTGTCACCCTCACCTAGGGACAATTTAGAGTTACCAATTACCCTAACATGTATCTTTTTGCTCTGTGGGAGGAAATCTGAGTACCTAGAGAAAACCTCCGCATGCACGGTGAGAACATGAATGCGCCACCCATAAAAGCCAAGAGGCGAACCTGCAACGTTCTCGCTGAAAGGTGACCGCTCTGACCACTGCGCCCCTGCCCCGATGATTAAACCTGTGGATTTATTTGAACAACTGTGTTTGGATACTGTTTGCTTGCTATGCTAGTACAATGACCTGATCTGGTCTGAATGTTTTTGTTTGTTTCATAGTCTTAAAAATTGAGAGGAATCGCAGGATTCGCTCCGTTTTCTTAACCACGTACGACAATTGTTTTCATTTGTACTTAGGACCGTCTGTACTTGTGATCCAGCTGGAAATTTGTTGTAGATTTTACAATGAACATTTATTCAGACACGTTCTTTCGTTGTATTTGAGATCTCCCTTTAACCAGGCATTTCAGGGCTCTGCATTCCAAAAAAGAAAATTAACTTGACTCTGTTTGTTAGTTTGCATGTTGATATGTGACACAACAGAGATTCTTGGTCTTTATTTTGTGCCTTTTGTGTTCGATCACATTCAGAGGACCAGTTCTTGTGTTTATGGTCAAGAGCTGCAAGTGTCGGAGTGTAATTACTGGCCAAAACATGACGGGCATCTTTACCAGTAAACTTCTGAAGAAGATTCTGGACACTAAACTCAAACTAAAATTCAGATATGATGGTTGTTTACTCCTTGCCTCACTTTGTGCTAATCAGTGATAGTTTTGCTTAGTTTGCTTGATGCTTTAACATCCGTTTTGATAGCTAAGTAACTTGGACACTGTTCTTTTCAACTCTTCTTTTTACAGATACAAAAGGAAGATTTTAACTGAAAGAATGATCAGTTCACTATCCAGACAGAAATCTGTGCGAGTCTTCCTTTCATCTCCTCAGAGCTCGTACCATTAAGCAATGGCAGTAGATGCCAACATTTCAAATTTCTGCAAGTTTTTTGCAGACCTGTTGTGCATGAAAACAAGTTGTGCCACTGTTTGTATTATTCATAGCAGAAGGCGTCAGCATCATGATAACGTGCTGTCTCCCAAGCATGTCCGGCAGGTGCATGTGGTCCATGAAGTAAATGTCAAACTAAGCGTGAAAGAGCAGGAGTGCTGCTGATTGCATGCACACCTCTGTCCTTCTGTTTATGTGCATGTGTTTGCAAGTATTATGTCTTCGTATCCATCAGATGTAAATAACCTTTGTATTTTATTGCAAGTGGACATTTTTTTGTCTTAAGTAGGGGCCAGTATTGCCTCAACTCTTAATCCTTTTATTACTAATGTAATTTGTACATTCTTCTTAAAGAAAGACATTGTAAATAGAAAGACCAAAATACCTGTCACACGTGTGCCTTGACGCATTCAGTAACGTGTATTGGTAATTTTTGATTAACTGAACTCGCTGTAGCATTGTATCTTAAAACGTGACTTTGAAATCGTTGTTTCATTCTGTTTTTCCTTCCTTCCTTATGATTTTAGTCAAATTTCCTACCATGTGTATGTATAGAAAGATTGTCTATTTTATACTTATTGCCTTTTCTTCTTGATTAAAAATATTTCTACTCTAAATCCAGCATTGCTATTTAATTTGTGTCAAAATATAATTATATAAGGTGTACATGTGCACTTTTTGTTGGCTTACATTAGAATAATGAATATTCTTGAGGTTATTTCCTGTATTTGTGTGAATTGTTATGAAGCATTCACACTATTGTGATCCATTTTTCTTCCGTATGTTTTTCGACTTCTTTCTCGTTCCATAATTTTTGTGCTATTTCAACAAATCAAATCAAAATGTTCAGCTTGTTCAGGAAAAGGGTGCTATGGCTTTTGGTGTTGGTGCAACTTTAGATTTTTTTAAATGTTTTGCTTTTACTGCCATTTTTTTCCTCATAGAAAATTAATTGAGCTCATCCTTCAAATCTTTAGCTCTGTTTACAACCTTTTACTGCTCCTTTCACGTTTTTTTCTGGTTCAGCTTCTTTCAGCTTCCATCTTGAAATTTAAACAGTTTTTCAGCTAATTTCAGCTGTTTTTCTTCCAGCTGTTTTGCGCTCCTTTCAAATTATTTCCAACTACAACATTTTTGTGCTTCCAACTTCTTTTTGCTAATTTCAGCTTACTAAGCTCCTTTCAGCTCATTTCTGCAAGTCTCAGCTTCTGCTATTTCAGCTGCTATTTAGCTGATTTGATGATAATTTTAGCATTTTTCGGCTAATTTCACATTGCAATCATTTAAAAAAAAATTCAGCCTAATTCAGCAAAATTGTTTTCTCTCCACTTCTGGTAATTTAAGCTTCTTTCTGCTTTTTTAGCCACTTTTCAGCAGTTTTGCTACTTTCAGCTTTTTCATATGTCATTTCTGCTTCTTTCATTCTAACTGGACACATGTTCTTTCTTTCTTCTGCTAATTTAATTTATTCTAACTTTTCAGCTAGCATTTTAGCTAATTTTAGTTTAGTTTTCAGATTAATTCAAGTTTTTCATGTTAATTTTTGCTACTTTCAGCCTAATTGACTTCTTTGTTTCTTTATGCTTTATGCTCCTTTCAGCTTTTTCTGCTCTTTCAGCTACTATTTAGCTCCTTTGAAACAAATGTTAGCCTTTTCAGCTAATTCCACTTTTTTTTTTAGCTCATTTCAACTTGTTCTGCTTCCTTCAGCTAGTTTAAGCTCATTTCTGCCTTTGCGTCTACTTTTTGTTGCTGTTGTTGCAAATTTCATATTTTTATTAGCTAATTTTCCATTTTTGTGCTAAGTTCTGCTTATTTAAACCTAATTTAACAAATATGTGTTCTTTCTGCTTCTGCTAATTTAGGCTTATTCTTCCATTTCAGCTACATTTCACAATTGTTTTTAACTAATTTCAGCTGTTTTTCAGCAAGTTCTTCAGCAATAAGCATTTTCGCAGGAATTGCATTTTTTTTTGTGTAATTTGAATTACAGTAGTTTATTTTCTCCTTATTCAAATGAGTTTACAGAAGTCAATTAGTTTTCTATTCAGTTTATTTGTGCATTTTTCATTTGAGGTTGTTTCTTTCAAGATGTCAACCTATAAAATATTGATCACTTCACAGCAGCACATGCTCAACCCGACATGCGATCTAGAAACACTGGACTCCATCAATGCATGGATACTTTGGGAGGTGCAATGGAAGAGGCAGTGGAAATATGACTACTGACTGGAATCATAAAAAACAAAGGCACATGGTTTATTTTTGTAACGGGAAACAAATGTCTTATCTCTTCTCTCCCCTGCCCGGATCGTTTGCTCGGAAGGAACACACGTTAAACAACATCTTTATTTTTACAGACTTCAAAATGTGTGAACAAGAGAGAACTGTGTTTTACCTGCATTCAGGGGTCCTCTGTACAATTCTGACATGCGTCAAGTCTGTTCCCACATTTATAGGCCGTTTTCTCCACCCCGTGACACTTCCTGTTTTAACTTTCTGTTCAATCAATCGGGCACACATTAGCCGTCATCTCTTTTCAACTGAGTACGTGACACATTTCTTTTACAAAAAGAAGACAAATTTTAGTGCAGACACACATAATCTCAGAATGACTGTGAGACTCTGATTATCCTTTTGATAACTTATTATCTTATCAAGTCTTAGATTGCTTCTACGGTCTTTCTGACCTATTAAGTTGTTCTTTAACTCAATTATTTTATAATCCCCACACACTCAAATGATGTGAACTATAATCGTAACTTCATATTAATCCTATCCAACTGAACAAGAACATTTGAGTTTTGCTTTCTCATTAAAGGCCTTATAAGGAACCATTTTCCTACTGAGCAGAAAGTGTCATGGTTGATTTTAAAAGTTAGCAGTCACTAAAATATATTATCAGCTTATGGCCTAGTTTACACATCTGACAGATATTCTAGTCATCTTTATATGATCTATGTTCCATAATTCATAATTAAAACTTATATTCACCAACACATATTATGTTATTTACCACAATTTATCATCAAAGGTTATTTTATTCCCAACATTTTATAAAGCGTTTTGACATCTTTTAGTGACAATTTTCTATTGATTTATATAAAAGGTTGTGTGTGTGTGTGTGTGTGTGTGTGTGTGTGTGTGTGTGTGTGTGTGTGT